GCTCTGCTGAAGAAAGGCTAGGCTGTTTACAGTCTTGGAAACCCTACGGTGGGTCACTGTGAGTCAGTGGTAGTAGGTTTAGTTGTTGGTTTGATATGTGTCTTAAAGAGTTCTGGTGGTATAGGGATTCAGCGCTTATCTGCTAGCTAAAAACTATTGGCTTACAATGGCTCGATGGCTTCTTTTTAGGTGAAAGACATTGACATTTGCTTCCATTAAGGAAACCCTGTGGGCCAGGGCAGTTCTAATCTGTCCTGTAAGATCACTCTAAGTTGGTTTTGACCTGATGGAAATAGGTTACTCAAACCTAATATTTTATTTTTTAAGTGATTTAACTCCAGATAATGATCCTTAGATGTGGATAACTTTAGTAAGCAGCATTATTTGGAGTATTCTTATCTCCAATTTGGGAGTAAGTAGCATCCATTTTGCCTGACAAGTTATTTATTAAGTACCTTATTAATCAGAATTGTTTGAGTGGTACTGCAGTGACAAATAATCCAAAAGTTAAATTTTCATTGTCCAATGGATGTGGTGCTTGATAACTCTTTGTGGCACATTCTTTCCGTGCATTTTCCTTGGTGAACCAGACTGTTAGTGACATCATCCTCCTGTAGCTGCACCATGTAAATGCATGCCGCGTAGCTCAAAGAGATCTGGGAAGGAGCGTGAAAAACTGTATACTGTCTCTCAAATGCTTTCACTGGGAAGCAACCTTGACACATTATACTTATATTTAATTGGCCAAAACAAGTGGCAAAATCAAATATACGTAACTTGAATATATGAATTTCCCTTAGGAGTGGAGAATCAGATCCTGGTACATAAGAGCAAGTTACAAAAATACTGTTATCAAACCTTGGACAATTTATTACATTATTAATTTATGAACCTGTAAGTCTTTAAGGGACTAGAAAGGTTCATCTTTCACCCACAGAGTGGCTGGTGGTGTTGAACTGCTTACCTTGTGGTTAGCAGCCCAACCACTCTGCCTCTTAGAGGAAGTTATTTTTTTTTAAGTTTTTTTAAAAGTCCACTCAAACAGTGATTTCTGAGGGCATCTGCTAAGCCAGTTAAATTCAAACCAGAGAGATCAGCATTCAAGTTTATGGTGACTGGCAGTGAGATTCCAAATCAGTAGTCTTGATAGATTTTCTTAAAGAACATAAGTGATCACAGGGGTTTATAATGAAGTCTTACGAAAATTGAAAGTTACATTGATGAGAAAATGACCAGGAAAGTTGAACCAAATAAATGTTTTCCATTATGACAAAGCACCTGCTCATTCTTTGTAAGTGGCAGCCAGGCCTGTCCTATAAGAATGTGACGAGGAAACTCTACTTCATCCAACCGACAGACCGAGTCTGGTCCCTTCAGATATATTTTTCTGTTCTCCAAAATCAAAGAATGTGAAAAGTAGCAGGACACGGGTCGCTCAATGGGACCAATAGTGTCATTTTAATGTGGTGTAAATTGAAGAGGACAGAATTCTTTGAGGGAAGGATTAGAAGGATTTAGCTCAGAAGTATATTCAGTTTTTCCCTCGCCATTATGGATGGGCATCTACTAACTGCTCTTTGTTAGACGTTTCATGATCATTTCTTAGGTGATAGCCCCATATCCTGTGGCCTAGTATTTGTCACTCTGTTTTTGTGCCCCTTGTCCAGATACATGCAGAATGTTCATTGTTGCACTGATTGCATTTTTTAAAAGTACAAGAAAAAAACATATCACTATTCTTTCATGATAGAAATGAAAAATAAATTGGGGTATATTTAAACAAAATAAATAAATATTCACCCATGCAAATTTATAAATCTTAGAAATATGCTTGAATTTAGCAATTAAAGCATATCTTGGAAGATCATGTACATGGTGATTTCATTTATGTAATTTCAAAAATCAAAATATACACATAATATGGACTCCAACTAAATTTTTTTTAAATCGTTTTATTAGGGGCTCATACAACTCTTATCACAATCCATACATACATCAATTGTGTAAAGCACATTGGCACATTCATTGCCCTCATCATTCTCAAAGCATTTGCTCTCCACTTAAGCCCCATTTTTCCCCTCCCTCCCTGCTCCCCCTCCCTCTTGAGCCCTTGAAAATTTATAAATTATTATTTTGTCATATCTTGCCCTGTTCGACGTCTCCCTTCACCCACTTTTCTGTTGTCCATCCCCCAGGGAGGAAGTCACATGTAGATCCTTGCAATCGGTTCCCCGTTTCCATCCCACACTCCCTCCACACTCCCAGTATCGCCACTCACACTACTGGTCCTGAAGGGAACATCCGCCCTGGATTCCCTGTGTTTCCAGTCCCCATCTGTGCCAGTGTACATCCCCTGGTCTAGCCAGACTTGCAAAGTAGAATTGGGATCATGATAGTGGGGAGGGGGAGGAAGCATTTAGGAACTAGAGGAAAGTTGTATTTTTCATTGTTGCCACATCACACCCTGACTGGCTGGAATAAAATTTTATTGGGCAAAAAATTATGAAAAAAGGCAAAAATGGTAAAAACATAGTCCAAGGTGTGGTTACCTCTAAATGATGTTTTAAGAGGTGGAGATCAGTGTCAGAGATCATGGCAATTTCATTGTTTGGCTAACTGAGTGGTGAAAACGATGTGCCAGTTGTTTTTCATTCATTTTTTTCTCTTGCCCTTATTTTCCCTTTCATTTTAATCCCTAGAATTATTGTATATTATATTATACATTAAAATAAAAATTATGTAGTGTGATGACTTATGTGTTATTATGTGAGAAATTTTACTTTAGGAATTATAGCTTATTAGTAAAGCAATGACATTAAAGGAGTTTAGGATCAAGAGCTTGGCTTTAAAATAATTTTCAGTAGTAAATATCCAAAAATTCTGAACCAGAAAATGTTGCCGTGAAATTGTGGTGGAGGGTCTGACAAAAGTATATATTCTTAACTAAATTAAGCTTAAACTATAAATACTGAAAGGAAGAGAAAGAGACATTAAAAATCTGTTTTAGAAGACACAGTACTAGGGTGAATTCTAGTGTTGCTATGGAGACACAAGGAAATGGTCATAGACCGACTGTAGAAAAAAGAAACAACATAATTCAGTACAAGACACTGCAATTAAAGGATTTTAAAAGATATTTTTCTCCCTTAATCTAAGTAGACCAAGATGAAGAAATCAACAATATAAAGATAATGCTGGTCAGAATCTGCTAGTATTGCAGTTAAGAGATGAGGGTTGGTTCTGAGCTTTTTAAAAAAAATCATTTTATTTTGGGGCTCTTATAGCTCTTATCACAATACATACATACATACATACATACATACATACATACATACATGTGTCAAGCACATTTGTACATATATTACCTTCATCATTTTCAAAACATTTTCTTTCTACTTGAGCCCTTGATATCAACTGCTCATTTCCCCCCTCTGTCCCTCATGAACCCTTAATAAATTATTAAAAATTTTCTCCCATGTCTTACACCAATAGCTGTCTCCCTTGACCCACTTTTCTGCTGTCCATGCCCCTAGGAAGGGGTTATATGTAGATCATTGTGATTGGTTCCCCCTTTCTCCCCCCACCTTCCCTGTCCCCTTCCCCTCCTGGTGTCTCTATTCTCATTATTGGTCCTGAGGGGTTTATCTGTCCTGGATTCCCTGTGTTGTGAGCTCTTATGTGTAGCAGTGTCCATGGTCTGGTCTAGCCAGATTTGTAAGGTAGAATTGAGGTCATGATAGTGCGGGGAGGAACCATTAGAGAACTAGAGGAAAGTTTTTTCATCAATGCTATACTGCTCCCTGACTGGCTAGTCTCTTCCTTGTGACCCTTCTGTAAGGGGTTGTCCAATTGTCTACAGATGGACTTTGCATCTCCCCTCTGCACGTCTCCTCATTCACATTGATATGATTGTTTGTCCTGAGTCTTTGATGCCTGACACCTGATCCCATTGACACCTCATGATCACATAGGCTGGTGTTCTTCTTCCATGTGGACTTTGTTGCTTCCTTGCTAGCTGGCTGCTTGTTTATCTTCAAGCCTTTAAGACCCCAGGTGCTATTTCTTTTGATAGCTGACACCATCAGCTTTGTTTACCACATTTGCTTATGGACCAACTTTGTCTTCAGCGATCATGTCAGGAAGATGAGCATTACAGAATACAGGATTATTAGGGGGGAAAAGTGTTCTTGCATTGAGGGAGTACTTGAGTAGAGGCCCAGTGTCCATCTGCTACCTTAATATTTAACATTTAAATATATGTTCATAGATCTATTTCCCAATCGTTATAAATAAATATATTTATGTACGTCCATGCCTGTATTTAGACCTCTATAAATGTCCTTTGCCTCCTAGTTCTCTCCACTATTTCCTTTTACTTTCCTCTTGCCCCACTATCATGTTCAGCCTTTATTCAGGTTTCAGTAATTCCTCTCGGCTATGCTGCCCTTGATTAAGCCCAACTATACCCTTCTTACCATTAATTTTAGAGCACTTGTTGTCTCCTTGTCCCTGGATTGGTTGACACCCCCTTACCTTTCCCCTGCCTCCCCCGCTCCCATGTCCCCCCAGAACCATTGGTCCCATTGCTTTCTCCTCCGGATTGTTTATCCTGCCCATCTTTTTGTTGTTGTTCTTTGTCCTGAGTTCTTTTTTTTTTAAATCATTTTATTGGGGGCTCGTACAACTCTTATCACAATCCATACATCCATCCATTGTGTCAACACATTTGTACATTTGTTGCCATCATGATTTTCAAACCATTTTTTTTCTACCTGAGCCCTTGGTATCAGCTTCTCATTTTTCCCCTCCCTCCCCCACTCACCCTCCCTCACAAATGCTTGATAATTTATAATTTTTTTTCTTGTCTTATACTGACCGGTGTTACCTAGATAGACAGGAAGAGAATAATAAACACAAAAACAGTACAGAGCAAAAGAAAACAACACCACAAAACAGCAAACCAATGGTAAAAAAAAAAAGAAAGAAAAGCCTATGAATAGTTCTAAGTCTGTTGACATTTAAGAGTGTTTTCCAATTGAGTCTGATGAGGTGCCTCGTTCTGGCCCCAAAGTCTATTTTTGGTATTCCCAAGGGACTTCATTGTTTTGTTCCTCTTGCTGCTCTGTTGCACACCCTTAGTGTTTTGCCCTAGTGTGATGGGGTCAGATCGGGCACAATTCCACACTGTGTCTCCAGTGTTATCCCCCATGGCACTATGGGTCAATGAGAGACATTCTGTCTGTGTCTCGTGGGGAAGCCAACCCTATGGGCCTCTCTGTACATTGGCTGCTCTGAGCAGGCATATCGTCCTCGGGGCTTGGTGAGTCAGGATGTGCTCTACTCTCTCTCCTTCCCTCTTCTTTTGCTTGTGTGCTCTGACCAGATGTGTCCTTCTCCCTGAGCTGTAGCTTCAGTGCTGTCCTCTTATGTGCATTCTTCTGGAGTGAGGTGGGAGGTGGGGGGAAGCGGGGAGGAAGTGGGTTCTGAGCTCTATAATAGGTAATTACTCTATTTGTCTGCTGCTATAGAAAATAGCAAAATAAATTAGGTCACTTGTGTATCATTTTCTGAAATTATTTCATCGTGTAATAGTTTTCTTAAATTATCTCAGGGACTACCACCCTTGGAAGGAAAATCAGTGGCTATTTAAAATGTCTTACTACATTTTAAAATTTATTTTTTAATCATTTTATTGTGGGCTTATACAGCTCTTGTCACAGTCCATACAAATATCCATTGTCAAGCACATTTGTACATTTTTTCCATCATCATTTTCAAAATATTTTCTTTCTACTTGAGCCCTTGATATCAGCTCCTCATTTTTCCCCTCCCTCTTCCACCGTCCCTCCTTCTTCAACCCTTGATAATTTATAAATTATTATTATTTTTTCATGTCTTAACACTGACTGATGTCTCCCTTCACCCACTTTTAACATTTGATTCTCTATAGCTGTAGGGAACTAATCTTTTATATTGATAAAAACATTTTTGTTTCTTTATATCACTTATTTCTTAAAGCTTCCATTAGGCTTACCTCTAGTGATTTAGCCCTTTAAATTTTGACATAAGCACAATTATGAGCAATACCTATTATCATTCCATGCATATGGAAACCTATGTCTCTCAGATAATTTTTGGGCAATATTCAGTTTTCACAATTCATTGACATTGCAGTAGAGTGTTCTTAAATAAGAGAGTAAGAACTTAAAAGCACTGTTTTGTTTCAACATATTTGGTAAACCTTTTAAATGAAAGTATGAGAATTCTTCAAGAAGTAATGATGGAGGCAAGGGAGGACACTGGGATGAATGAAAGAGTTAAAGACAGCAGAGGTAAATACACAGCCCCTTTATAATAATGATCACCAAGTAGATGCATGCGTGGACTCACAGGTTAAACCGCTGTGGGAGGGATAGTGGGAATAGACCCACAAATATATATGAGTATGTGTGTGTGCATATATATATGACATAAAATGTATGTTACATATATAGTGCAATCAAGATGTATGGATAATTATTGGTAATTAGAATGCAAAAGTTGGGGGTAAAATAGGGAGGAACAGTTGTTGGTGATAGAAAAAAAGACAAAGATCTCATGGTAGAATTCTGCAAAACCAGTGACTCAATCATAGCAAATATCTTTTTGTGTGTGTGTGTGAGATTTCTAACTTTTCCTTTGTTTTAAAATCATTTTATTAGGGGCTCATACAACTCATCACAATCCATACACACATCATTTGTGTAAACCACATTTGTACATTCATTGCCCTCATCATTCTCAGAACATTTTCTCTCCACTTAAGCCCTGGGGGACGGACAACAGAAAAGTGGGTGAAGGGAGACGTCAGACAGGGCAAGATACAACAAAATAATAATTTATAAATTATTAAGGGCTCATGAGGGAGGGGGGAGCGAGGAGTGAGGAGAAAAATGAGGCAAATATCTTTTTTCAACAACACAAAGCATGTCTATATATGTGGACTTCTCCAGACGGAATACACAGAAATAAAATTGACTCTACCTGTGGGAGGATGTGATGAAGAAACTCAACACTAACTCTAAATTAGGTGAAGGGCCAACAGTGCTCATATGTAAGTTCAGGTTAAAGTTGAAGAAAATTAAAACAAGTTCCCCATGAGAGCTAAAATATGATCCTGAGTTTGTTCCACCTGAAATCCAAGAACATCTCAAGAAGAGATTGGATGTATTTAATACTAACAACAGAAGGCCTGGTGAGCTCCAGAATGACATCAAGAAAATTGTTCATGAAGGAACCCAAAGATAATTAAAAAGACAAGAAAGAAAGAAGATCAAAGTGGATGTGAGAAGAGACTCTGAAATTTGCTATTAATCATAGAGTAGGTAAGGCACATTGAAGAAATGATAACGTCAATGAAGTAGAATATTTCAAAGGGCAGTTCAAGAAGACAAAATAAAATAATATAGTGAAATGAAAACCTAATTCTTTGTTAAAAATTCCAAAGGGAAGGCATACTCAGCATATCTTAAACTGAAAGAATTTATGATAAAAATCCAACCCTCGAGTTGTAATATTGGAAGATTCTATGGGAAAAATATTGAATGATCAGGAAGTCATCAGAAGAAGATGAAGAGACTATCCAGAGTCACTGTCCCAAAAGGAACAAGTCCACATCCCACCATTTTTGGGAGGTTAATATATGAGCAAGAACCAGTGCCACTGATGGAAGAAGTTCAAGCTGCACAGAAAGCATTATCCAAAAACAATAATGAAGGAATGGTTAGAATACCAATTAAAATGTTTCAATAAGCTGATAAAACACTGTAAGTACTCATTTGTCTATGTCAGGATATTTGGAAGAGAGGTACTTGACCAACTGACTGGAGGAGGTTCATATTTGTACCGATTCCAAATAAAGATAACCCAGGAGAATGCTCAAATTATAGAACAATAGCATTAATATCACGTACAAATAGAATTTTGCTGAAGATCATCCAACAATGGTAGCAGCAGTCCATTAACATGGAACTACCAGAGGTTCAGGCTGGACTCGGAAGAGGACAAGGAACAAGTGATATGATTGCTGATATCAGATAGATTTTGACTAAAGGTAGATAATACCAGAAAAATGTTTACTGGTGTTTAATGAACTATTCAAAGGCATTTTCAGTGTTGATCATAATGGAGTGTGAATAGCCTTGAGAAGAATGAGAATTCCAGAACACTTTATTCCGCTCCTATGCAACATGTACATGGATCCGGTAGCAGCTGTATGAACAGAGCAAGGAAAGGTGTGTGTCAGGACTGTCTTCTTTTGCCATACTTACTCAATCTGTGTGCTCAGAGAAACTGGACTCTATGGAAAAGAATGTGGCACAAGGTTTGGAAAAAGACTTATTAAAAACCTGTGAAATGCAGATGATACAATCTTACTTGCTGAAAGTGAGGAGGACATGAAGCACTTGCTGATGAAGATCCAGGATTTGTTAGATCTCTGTGGAGCTAGATTTATACCTCGGTCCTTGGCTCCCCGCGAGAAAGAATTCACGCCGAAGCCTGGTTCATGATCGAAGTGAGTTTTATGAAGGTTAGAAGAAGTTTCAGGTTTACACGGCACCCAAGGGGCTCCTCCCGGACATGCGGCCTGGTTGGAAGCGGCTCAGCGTCCCGCCAAGCAACCCGAAGCTCTCTGCGCCTAAGTTCTCTCTCCTCCCGCCTAAGTTCTCCCTCTCTTCTCCAGGCTTCTGCCTTTTTAAGGATTTCACAGGGAGGCGTGGTGGAAGACACTGATTGACCCCATTGGCTGAATTGAATTTACCTAGCTAGGTGAGCCAATTCAAGTTCAAGCCCACCCCTGAACATATGCGGTGCGCCACTCCTTTGTTTCCCTAGCTTGACCCTCTGGGCACACGTTAATGGTCATCCCCCAGTCCTATGTTGGCCTACCTAACAGGTTGTTGCCTTCAGAATGGTTTACAACTCAATGTAAAGGAAAAAAATCCTCAAAACTCCATCAACAGGTGACCTCATGAGAAATGGATAAAAACTCGAAGTTATCAAGAATTTCATTTTGCTTGTATTCACAATCAATGCTCAAAGAAGCTTCAGTGAGGAAAACAAACAAACAAAAAATCTTGTCAGCTGATCTCCCCTCTGATGCATGTTAGGCCTGACCTGGTCTTCAACATTTTCTGTATTGTTTTTTCATTTGTTCATATTGAGGTTTATCTCATATGTGTCATGCCATTTGGGGTCACCCTCTTTAATTTTGTTACATTTTTTGTTTGTTTTTCAATATGTGAAACCCCAAATTGATGAACCTATTGGAATAGCAAATAAAATAAGGATTTCTGGGGGGTGGATACAGTGTTGGTGGGAGAGGTGGTAAAATAAATTCCTGATGTCAAGGAGTTCAGGAAGGAAAATAATGTTTTGAAAATGATTGTGGTAGTAACTGTACAACACTAATTGATGTGATTGGACTATGGAATTATATGTCTGTATTAACACCATATATATATATATATATATAATATATATGCATTACATTAGCTAAGTCTGCTGTACAAGACCTCTTTAATGTGTTGAAAAGCAAGGAAATACCTTTGAGTGTTAAGATGTTCCTGACCTAAGCCATGGTATTTTCAATTGCCTACTATGCTCATGAAAGTTGAATATTGATTAAGAGAGAGTAAAGAATAATAATGTATATACTTAAGTATAAGCCAACCTGAATAACAGCTGAGGCACCTAATTTACCATAAAAACTGCATTTAAAATGTGCTGAAAAACTCGACTTATACACGAGTATATATGGTAGATGCATTTGAATTATGGTACTGGTGAAGGATATTGAACGTACCATGAACTGTCCAAAGAACAAACAACCTATCTTGGAAGAAGTAAAACCAGAATGCTCCTCAGAGGCAAGGATGGTTAGACTTCATCTCATGTGTTTTGGCCATGTTATTAAGAAGAACCAGATCCTAGAGGAAGACATCATGCTTGGCAAACCAGATGGGCAGCAAAAAATGTGGGATGTTTTCAACAAATTAGTTTGACATAGTGGCTGCAACCATGGACTGAAACATAAGAACAATTGTGAAGATGGCGAGGACAGGGCTGTCTTCTGTTGCTTTTACACGGGCTTGCTGTGAGTCAGAGCTGACTTGACGGCATCTAACAACCGCATATGTACCCTGGTGGTGTAGTGCATCGATCCAGTAACCACAAAGTCAGCTATTAGAAACCACTGGCATTAACTTGGGAGAAAGATGGGGCTTTCTACTCCTGCAGAGTTAGAACCTTGAGAACCCACAAGGACAGTTGTACCCTGCCCTAAAGGGTCACAATGAGTTGGAATTGACTTGAGGGTAGAATTTTTATATATTTAAGAGGGAGGGAGGGTATTTGTACAAGATTATTTACTTTCGATGCAAATATATACATGATGGTGGCGAATTATACAGGGACAAAGGTATGAAAAGTTCTTAGACATAACCAAACACTTTGAGAGAATGGTTCACTAGACCTCAGACCTCAGGACCATAATCCTGAAGTAACCAAGTTAGTTGGCATAACATAGTCCTTGGTGACAATGTTCTCCATCCTTCTTTGCTCTGGGTAGTTGTGAGGGCATAAAACTGTGAGCAGCCATCTAACGTACAACTACAGATTTCTTCGTCAAGAGGCATTAAAAATGATGAAAATTGTAAGACACTTAGAAATAATTAGCACCCCACAACAACTAGTGGATCATGTGAACATCTATCTCTATGATCTGGAGAGTAGAAATAGATAGTGCCCAGTTACCAGAACCAACTGGTCTGAAAGGGATCACATTAAAAAATCCTGGATAGAATAAGAGAAAAATTTGGAACAAAAATCACAATCATAAAAGAGATCATGCTTGCTAGTTGAATAAAGATGTACAGGACCCTAACATTGTGACCCTTAGCTACCTTTCAGACTTGGAACTGACCTCATACCCAATGCTCAATTTTCAGCCAAGCAACAGACAGGCCACTAAGGAGAACAATGATTTTAGTGGGGTACATCCACTTTAGAATAATCAACAATTTGAGAAAAAAATGGACAGCATTTCCTAAGGCCAACGTTCAGAAAGGGTAGGAAAAAAGGAGGAATGAAAACAGGAAACAGAGAGAAAGTGGAATAAATTATGAGTTTAATTGACAAGATTCCACTAAATGAGATAGATGAAAGAGAAAAAAATCATTATCTTTTAATTTCACTCTTCTATGAAGTTTTGGAAGTCCCCTGATATTTATTGAGACATGACATGGTGATTTTTCTAGTGAATTTCTCAATGAATCTTTTTATTTCTTTCTTT